AGTTGTAGATGAATCACTGCCAACAGCCAGATAACTAATTTGTAAGTCATCAGTTATCTCGTCGGGTTTTGGATTAGATTGCCTTCGAATAGCCTTCAGATTGTCGCCAGAGTTCAATTACTTCATCGCATTTGCTGATTCAGTAAAAGAGTTGCATGGCCAATTAATTTGTTGAAGTAGATCCTTTAGAATCTATTTATATTGTAAGTGAACATAATTTTAATCTTGTTTGTTTTGAACTGATATTATAATTTCAAATATCTCTATATTTCCAACACCGATGTTGTAGCTTCCAACACAACTGCTTCAAACGCAAACTTTGTTGAACGTTTATTTGAATATCAACAGTAATAGAAACAATAAACTAATCCAAGTAACTACATAAATCACATTTACGACTTCCCATCGAACCTGACTGTAAACCTGACTGCGCAGGACATCCTAAATTTTTACGATGTCATTTTACGATTCTCTATCCAAAGATTACAAATATAGCACAGATTACAACAACCATAATAATAATTAATATAGCGCAATTTAATTATTTCAGCGGTTATAACAATATGTTCAACATTTCATTTCGATGGCCGTGAAAGTTAATAGACCTTGCATCACCTTGATGAAAGAAATAATTGAATTGAATCGAGTTGACTGGGACTGAGTTAGTCTTTCCCATCGTTCGTACCATCAACATCGTCGCGATACACATAATTATTAGCGCTGTATTCAGCAGTGTCATAAATATAATCGTTAGATTAAAAATAATGTCAATTAGTTTAAGTGTTCAATAAGCTTAATAAGTGTTTATTCCGTCTTCACATGCAAAGTTAAAATAACTTAAAAACAGCAAATAACACCTACATACGTAACATCAAATAGAACAAAAAAACCTTCATAAAAAATTTTATTCTTTGTCCAATGCAGACAATCAAAAACGATGCGCTCGCGTAAATCCCCGCTCATTTATTGCGCCATGACTGCTTTTGAATAAATAAAATAATATTTAAAAAAGCGAATGTTTTTAAAGTGTGCAAAAATGATACCATTGAGTTGCGATGAATTTTATGTTGTCCTATTGTCGTAACCTTCATCTACTGTTTCAATAAATATATCATGTTGACAATAATAACAATAACATTGACTAACAATTGCATGACATCAACATATTCATAAACAATATTCATCTTCTAGTTCAACATCTCTTGCTCACTTGCACTGGCTGCTGATTCATCAACGCATTAAGTATAAAATAGCTGNTATCAAATATAAATATAAATAAGCATGATGTACATCGCATCATCGCCAACACCGTCCTAAACGATGACGTCACTATGACATTTCCTATTTTGGCAACAACACTATCGTCATCATCATTATTATCTCCATTTCATATCTTGCTTCATTATTATCAATATCATCATCGTCGTCACCATCACCGTCCTTCTCACATTTCTTACTTTGGCATGATCCCATTCACCATCATCACTATTTTAATTCATATATTAGTATCATCATCAACAACAACATCCTTATCATCATCCTAATCATCATTTTATCATCACGGCATGAACAACATCAACAACATCATCATCAACATCAACAACGTCATCACTAACAACAAAAAAAACGTCACCACACACCATCTCCATTCTTGAACAAAATTGAGAAATTAAATAGCAAAGATGGAATTAATGGTACTGGGAGATACAATAACGCTCAAAGTACTATCACCATTATACTCATCATCACCATCATACTCATCATCACCATCATACTCACCATCACCATCATACTCATCATCACCATCATACTCACCATCACCATCATACTCATCATCACCATCAGGCTCATCATTATAAGCACCATCTTCATCATGAGTACCATCATCATTATAGATGCTCTCATCCCCGTTGTCATAAATATCATCATCATCTCATCATCATCACTTTCATTAGTACCATCGTCATCATCAGAAACACTGTTATAATGCATGCATGCATAGTAACATACGTGCATAGTAACATACGTGCATGCATGCACGTATGTAGTAACTAATCCCCTGATCGAAGCCAACTCAGGTCCTGGTTCATCATCATCATCAGCATGATACGTCGTGAGACGGGAGCAATGGACGATGGGTATGCCGGTGGACCAAAGACAGAGCTGTGTTGAATCACATGTTCAGATTACTTGGATGCCACAACAGAGTGCAAAAAAATCTGGTAACACAACTCAGCAGGACACGTATAACTTCCGTGCGTTTTTACCTATGTTGATAAATCAAATTGGATATCTTTGAAATATGCTTAGTGTGTTTTCTGAAACAAACTAAGGCTATGGTAGTCAAGTGGAGGAAGATAATGGTACAACCACTACTTTTCGGTAAATTTCTGACTCCAAAGTTTGCTTTCCGTTCCTGGCCAGACAGTCACACGAAGATTAACCAGTGGAAAAGTCGTTTCTCAAGAGATGTTGGCCATTATTTGTTTTAATTTTTCCAGTTCAAAGTTTTATTCAGATTCAATAATATGCTTAATTTTTTTTATTTTTTCGTTGTTATTTGTATTGTGTCGTTGTTTTTATAACATTATCATTGAACGTTATTAATGATGCTGTCTTTAGAATTATTATTACTATTATTATAATTATTACACTTATTATTACACTTATTATTATTATTATTATTATAAAGCTTTCAACAGCTCATCAAAAATTCAATCTCGTGCATATCTCCTCTCGAAGTTCACAGCCGATTTGCCGGAAACTTTGTTCAAATTTGTTAGGAAGGCATTAATTCAACAACCTCCTACATATGTCAACTTCTCCAGTTTTAAAAATATATACAACACGTCATAATAAAATATTGTCTTTGATTCTGGGAAAAATTAGATCGGTTGCTAAACCCTAACTTAAAATCTTTGCCGATACGACTGACGAATTTTTCTCAGTATGGTCCCTCTTCAAATCATTTTGGCTCGATATAGCAGAGAGGAGATACGATCGAAATATTGAAATTGACAGTCTGCCACGAATTTAACTTCACCACATCAAGAAACTCTAAAATATCCTAATACCAGAGTATCCATAACAATTTGGTCAACCCATTTGAAATTTCCCCACTAGGCTTTTTTAAACATTTTAACTTATCGCTGGTGAATTTCACCTTGTCTGACCAATTTTATAATGATTTGACAAATTCAGCAATATCAGCATCGTATGCTATTTATTGCGACTGAAACTCGAATCTATCGTAAATATTTTTTAGACGGATCTTTTATTTCTAGATGTACGCATTTTATTTTGATTTAATGGCGAGTATCGTAAATTACATTACCGACTTTATTATTTTATTTCATTTCATTGTATGTTTATTTTACTTTTGGAAAAAATGTTCCAATCATTATTATTATTGACAAGTGCTGCTCATTTGGAATGAGAAAGAAAAATGGCGGCTGTAAACAATTTCTCCCGACGCTGACCATTGAAGACCAGCTCATTCCTCGTGTCGAAATGAACGACCATTTTGTCCATCTTAGCAGGAATTATAATTTTTATGGCGGCAACTAAAAGACCAAAGAACTGCCGATTAAAAAGCTCAAAAATTTGCTATAAATCGTAAACGAGTAAGACACAGCGCCCCAATGGAAGCTGTAAATATTACAAAGGTTCGTTCTATCACAATAGGCCTTTTAGCTTTGCACATATGATATTCCGCTGATGTGGATAACAGAAAGACTAGACACCTTAGTCGCGGAAGCGGTAAGAAACTGGCTGTCATTGCCAATTTACATCTGTGCATCCGAATGTTTATCACTTCCTTTCAAATCGGTGAGCCTGCAAATCAGATCACTAAAAAATATTTCTTATTCACTCAGAACTAATCTCCTCAATTATTTTAAAACTTAATGATTTTCCTCTGACAAGATAGCCGTGACAGATGGTTAAAATCAGA